AGGGCCAGTCTTCCTCAGCAAAAAGAGGAGGATTGGCATGGATGTTAGCTCAGGGCTGATCTTCCTCACCAAAAAAAAAAAAAAAAAAAAAAATTAAACTCTTACTATATGTCAGACAGTATGCTATACATCTCTTTTCATCTTCATAGTAATCCTTAAGTATGTTTATTATTTCCATATGACAGGAACCTGAACCTCATCTAATGGGTGTACAGATATAAATATAATTACAATGAGAAGAGAGGGTGAGAAAGCTAGGAGAAAATAAGTCAGTTGAGCTTTAGAACACCATTGTTAGCCCTGAATTTCCCCCACAAGTGTCTGTCAAAAAATTGTTTGAAAAACTCCCCTAAAGAAGTTCTTTTGAATGGCATTGACAGAAAACGGGGAAGGGAGCAAGGCATAAAGTGAGAATTTAGTGCAGTATGCTTGTTCTTTGGAATAGTAAATACAGTTCTTTGATTGTGTATGTAGTACCGTATTTGTCAGGCACATATTCCTCTATTATAATATTTCCGTAGAAAATCAGTTTACCTTCTATCGGTGTTTCCTATAGCATCCCTCCCCCTTCTCCCCAGAGTCTAATCCATCTAAATTCTACTATAGTTTAAAAAAAGACAGGAAAGAAAAAGTAGGGAACAGGGATATACTAGAAAGGAAATTTTTATGTGCTAGAGACAAAAGACTTAAATAAATGGGTACATTATTTAATATAATTAAAATGAGAAATCATTGATCTAAACCTTTGATATAGGTAGTCTGATTTACATATAATATTTAAATACCCACAGTCTTTTTTCCTTCTTCTTTAGTGCTACTGTTTTGAGATGTTCTTTTCCTTCCTCCTCAGTACTTCCACATCCACTCCAGTATCGCTTTCTTGACTTTTTCAGTCTATTCCAAGATTTATCAGGGCCAGTTTCTTCTATTGATGATCTGGTGATAAGGAAAGCAGCTGCCCACTACTAGCATTTTCTTAGAAGGTCATTCCTTATTTTACTCATTCTTCCTTTATGTTCCGTTACAGACTGGTTTCCAGTTGACAAAAATGTAAAGAATACTTGAAGACTTTTTTTTCCCTTGTAATATAGAAGAATCTTTGTTTATTCACTAGAGAATATATCGTTCTCATCTTCCCAGTATAGGTCTTAGTGTTTTCTCTAGTTCACAGGAGTGATTTGACTGGAGTGTTGGGTACAGAGAAAGGATGTGTTGCTATTCTGCCATATGCTGGGTTGAGCTAGCATAGACTCTACTCCAGAAGCACTTCCTACCCACAAACACATGAAAATGCTAAATAAAATAGAGCAAAGGGAAAAAAAGTAGATGCACGGCTGAACTTGAGAGAAAACTTACATGTGCCAGTAACAAAAGGCAACTCAAAGCCAGAGCAATAAGCTCCAAGCAAACGTGGCAATACAGGGGATATTTGGAAGGATACAGGCCCTCAGGACAGGAGGCTGGGATTGGGATTGGAACTAAGTATTTGACTATGGAATTATGTCTCCTTAAAGCTGGGACCCTGGAAGGATTGTCCCCTCTGAAAAGGGTCCAGAAAAACTCCCTATGTGTGCCTTCAAGGACATTTTTTTATTGTGAAGATAAAATAGAATTCAGTAGGAAAATATTTTGAAAGCTATAAAGAACTATTTTAAATTTTGTTTTAGAATATAAATGAGAGAAAGGGCCATAAGGGCCAAGCAGATAACATAAATAAATGAAGCTATCCAGGTATAAGACGTTAGTTTGGGGGAGACAACTGGTGAATTGGAGGTCATTTGCATGATCAAAAAGAACCAGTGCTACTTTAGATATAGACAAAATAAAAACATTAATTTTTCAGTATAGGTTTTCTAAGAACAAAGCCCTATGTAGTTATTAAATTCAGAAAAATTTACATTGATACAATACTTGAACCTTCAGTCTGTATTCCAGTTTGGTCAGTCATCCCAATCATCTCCCAGTATAGGGTCCAGTCTGAGATCACTTATTGCATTTGGCTGTCATGTCTCTTTAATCTAGTACAGTTCCTTTCTTTGTCTTTCATGACATTAGCATTTTGAAGGTTATAAGGCTAGTTATTTTGCAGAATATATTTCTCAATTTGGGTTTGTCTTCTGTTCGCTTATAATTCAATCCAATTTATGCATGCCCTATTATGCATCCCTGGCTGGAGTACTGTGTAAGTGATGATGTATCTTTCTCAAATGTATCATATCTAGAGGCTCATATTGTCTGTCGGTCTGTCCCTATTGGTGACATTAGTTTTGATCACCAGGACAAGGTGTGTCTGGTTTTACCACTGTAGTTTCTAATTTACCCATTACAGCTAATAAGCAATTTGTGAGAAGATATTTTGAGACTCTGCAAATATCTTACTCATCATACTCTTCCCCTAGATTTAGCATCTCTTGATGATTCTTGCCTAAACCAGTATTTTTTTTTTTTTTTTGAGGAAGATTAGCCCTGAGCCAACATCTGTTGCCAATCCTCCTCTTTTTTGCCGAGGAAGACTGGCCCTGGGCTAACATCCGTGCCCATCTTCCTCTGCTTTACATGGGACGCCACTACAGCATGGCTTTGAC